GATGTGCTTTAGTGTCCTTTAACAATTACTGGTCTTTTCTTTGTTTCGATGATGAAGCCTGTCCGCTGACGCAATTATTTTTTTCTAGATTTATGATATATTCCAGCTTTTGCCACCAAAGATCCAAGTGGGTGTTTTCTCTGCTACAATGCCACCAGAGGCTCTTGAGATTACTAGAAAATTCATGAACAAGCCAGTGAGAATTCTCGTGAAGCGTGATGAGCTCACTCTTGAAGGTATTAAGCAATTCTATGTCAACGTCGATAAGGAAGAGTGGAAACTTGAAACACTTTGTGATCTTTACGAGACCTTGGCCATCACCCAGAGTGTCATCTTTGTCAACACCAGGCGAAAGGTTGATTGGCTCACTGACAAAATGCGTGGTCGTGATCACACAGTATCTGCAACTCACGGAGACATGGATCAGAACACTAGGGATATCATTATGAGGGAGTTCCGATCTGGCTCATCTCGTGTGCTTATCACCACCGATCTCCTTGCTCGTGGTATTGACGTCCAACAAGTCTCCCTTGTCATCAACTATGACCTGCCAACTCAACCAGAAAACTACCTGCATCGTATTGGTCGTAGTGGACGATTTGGAAGGAAGGGTGTTGCTATCAACTTTGTTACCAAGGATGATGAAAGGATGCTTTTTGACATTCAAAAGTTTTACAACGTCGTAATCGAGGAGCTCCCAGCCAATGTTGCTGATCTCCTTTGAGGTGGTTTTGGCTCTGTGAGGGGGAATTGTTCCTTCCCTACAAGTAGTAGTCTAATATATTTATTCAGAGTGAACAACTGCAAATTTTGTCTGGTTTTTGTGTTATTTTGTTTTTGGAAGTGTCCAAATAACTTTGGATTTGGTGGTTGTTTTGAATTGTTTATTTGAACTATTTTTCTATGAATGTTAGGCTTTTAGTTAATGTTTTCTAATGTTTGATGCTATATTTATGTCCCACTGTTTCTTGCTCAATCAATCAAAGATTCATGTTAGGTTAGGTCCTTCAAGATTTATCTAACCAATCATGATTCATGCCGAGTAGGCTCTCTAATCGAGAAATACGAGAAGCAAATTGTTGTGTGGATGAATTAATATCTATACTTAAAAAGAGGTAGATTTTGTATCACTTCATCTAGTCGTATGAAACTCGCGAATACCTATCACTTTTGGAAAGATTTGAAATTCTTCATGTAGGGTCTAAAAATTTGATATTTTTTTGTCTAGTTACTTGTTTTTCAACATTTCTTTGCCTAAATTGTTGACCGAGGTTCCGCGCCTAGTGATTTTCCTTTCAAAAAGTCTACACGTGATTTTCCTTTATCAAGTAGATCCTCAAATATAGAAAGTAAAACTTGCCCGAGTAATTTCGTATAAAAGGTAAAAACCTCTTCAAATCGTTGTTCCTTGCCTAGTCAATCAATTAGAATTCATGTCAGGTAGGTCTTTTAAGATTTGCCCGAACTTACGTTGGGTAGGTCCTCTAATTGAGATCAACTAATTTGGATTCATGCATGTAAGGTCCTCTAATCGAGAAGGTAAAACTTGTTTCTAACCAATCACGATTGTGTAGATCTTCTATTCTAAAGAAGGTACTACGTTTCTAAATAAAGATGAAGAAATCTCATTCATACAATAACTTATGTTGTGTTTAAATAAACCCCTCTATTATAAAGAATATAATACGATTCTGAATAAAAATGAAGAAATCTCATCCACGCAATAACTCTTTAACAATGCTTATACTCAATGTTGTGTTTGAGGTTGATATTATAATGCTTTAGAATGATACATGTAAATGCAAATATACAACGTATGAATTCAATATAACTCAATCGTAAATATACTAAGAATTTCACTAAATACGTACATATTATAAACTATATGAACTCGAAAACATAAATTGATTTCGGCTTTAAATTTTGAACTAGCCTCATAAATACAAAACTATGTGTAAATTAGGAAATAATTAATGACTTAGATTGAGATCCACAATGAAATTAACTAGAGAGTAATTTTCTTTAGTACTTATTAATTATGATTGTCAAATTAACAATAAAGTATCTTATTATAATAAAATAATTATATATAACTGTACTATATCATCAACAAATCTAATGTATCCCCAAATAAGAGTTTGAAAATGCTAGAATATATATTAATTTTACATTTACCATAAAAAGATAAAGATATCTTTAAGATAAATTTTTGAATTAAAGAATATAATAGCAACAAATTGAAATAACAATAAGACAATACGAATAATCGAGACTAAAAAAACAATAATAAAAGTCTAAGTATACAAAATAATAACAAGGATAAAACCACTACTTGGAAAACATAATAAAAATTTACATAAATATAATTATTAAGTCACATTAAAGAAGAATTTATTAAGAATAATATATCAAACTCTTTTTTTTTTTTTTTGCTTTTTGGTATATTATAATTATATCAAACACTATATTTCACCAAAAAAAATCTACATAAAACCATTTTCCCCCTCAATTTGCCTCATCTCTACTAAATAAATAGTATAGTATAATATTATTATGAATAAATTGCAAAAATCAAGCAAATAATTGATAAATAAAAATAAAAACAACGAAAAATAAGTTAAAGAGTAAAAAAAAAAAAACTACATTTAACTATCTCGATTTTTTGAATTTTCTATCCAAATTATCACGTGTTTGCTTTTTCTATCCGAATTATAACCAATTATTTATCAAAACATACGTAAGCTATAGCCATTCACGTTTTCTACCTGAATTATTACCGTATTAAGGTAGAAAAAAGTGAAAACGTATGGTTAACGTGTGATTCGATAAATATTTGATCATACTTCAAATAAAAAAGGACCTCCACACCGATAAATAATTCATCGAGATAATTTAGATGTGTTTTTCGCCCTTCGCTCGTCCCGAAAAAATGAATTTAGAAGGTCCATTTTAAGATCTTCATACGTAAATCAGCCTTACATTTAGCATTTGTAGTTGAAGCCACCGCCGGAGTTTTCCCCGTCGGAATTCTTCCATGGATTCCGTCACAAGTAACTCTGATCCCGACTTCCTTACTTTTCAATTTATCCATTTTCGCTAGCACCATTGTATCCAACAAGATCTTCATCGGTAATCCATTTTTTCTTTTCAGATCTGATTTCAACGATGAAATTGAATCCGCATCGAGCACTTGAGACGCCATTGATAGAGTTGAGTGAATGATTGTGATGTTATTAGGACCGCTGTTGAATCCTGTGAACGATCCATTAGCTAGTAGAACTGAATTCGAGTTTACAGTTAAGGAAATTGGATCGTAACTGTAAATCAGCTTTTTGTTAGGGTTTTTAGTGGAGAGTGTGAGATTGAGCTTAACGGTGAGGTGTGTAGTGTCGTCGGAGGTAGTGGTGAGTTTGAATTGGATGATTTTGAGTGAGGAAACGGAGAATGCCGGAGGTTTTGGACGGAATAGGAAGTAGAAACCGGCGCCGGCGATTGTGGCGAGGAGGAGGACGGTGCAGATGAAGAGGAGTGACCAGAAACAACAGAAGCAGAAGCACCGGCGGCAGGTGCAACGGCGGCGATTGTGTCGGTGGTAGGCAGTTGGAGTTGGTCGGTAAGGGATGCGATTCGGGTTGTACATTTGGTTCTTCGCCGCCGGAGGAGGAAATTGCGGCGGCTTCGCGGCGGCTTTGGGATTGACGGCCGCCGCAGCGGCACCGGTAATATTGGCAGCGTTGCCATTTGGCTTAGCTGAAGGGTGAACTCTGTCAGCCATTTTTGGAGAGAAAAAATGAGCTTAGATTTGGCAGAAGAAAAATAGAATTTATATTTCTGTCGTTTCACTAAGGTGTTTGACTAATGTCGGTGGATTTGGCAAAATCTATTAAACTGTTCGAATTTTTTAAAAATATTATCGAGAAATGTATCATACAAATATCGAAATATTTTTAAACTTTGAACAACATAGAAACTAGTCGATCTCAAAAGAAAATTTAATAGATAGTTAAGTATTATCTTAAGCAGTTTTGTCTAATAAATACATTATTTTGTTATATATACTTATATATACGTTAATATATATTACATTCTATCTTTTATGATTGTCTTATATCGATCGACTTTCAAAATTCGTTCATGCTATTTAACTTTTTTAAATATACATGTTATATGAATTTCGAGATATTTTAAAGAGTCTAAGTAACATAGAAATTATTTCAGCTCAGTAGAAGATTTAGCAGATAATTAATTGTCGTCTTACTTTCCTACAATTAGGGTTTGCGGTAGTTTGATGTTTCATACCTATTTCTTCTTTGTATTAATATCTTTAGTTTTATGAGTTGTGACTTACATTACTTTCGACTGTGTTTAAATTACTTCATTAATTTGTTAGGTAATACTTTCTCTAGTACTTGTTTTATGTATATTGTTTGATATGTGTTACGTTCTATCGAAATGAAATATGAGTAAAATTTATATACTTTTTATATTTATCGACCTCATTATATAAAATAATACTAATATGTTATTGTTAGTAGGTAAAAATATTCGTGTATATTGATAAGTTATAGCAAATATTTTATAAAACTAATTGTTGTGCACATAAATTGATGCCAACACCACGATTATGACAAAGAAAAAAGTATTTGTGTAACACCTTCGGATTTGTTGAAATGAATATTATAATCATTTTGCTTTCGATTATAAATTTTTGGTTCTAATATTCTAAAATAAAATAAAAATAGGGAGGTCTTCTCTTTTTTTTTCCTTACATACATTAGTATTTATGTAACAGATTAATCAAAATCAAATACCAAATATGATAGATAAAACCAATTATCAATCGAGCCATTAATTATCAAACAACAAATGATTAAATAAATTATAAAAAATAAAATAAAATAACTCTTAAATATAGAAAAAAAATGTCAACTTTTTTTTTTTTAACAAATTGATAAGGAAAGAATAAATAAAACAAATAAAGTAGAGTAACTTGGTTAATACAAAAGGAGTATGAAGTGAAGGCAAAGCAAGCGTTTTTCCTTCATTTGGTTCCAAATCCATTTCGATGGAAATACAAAATGATTTAGAATTTAAATTTTTATAAATTTGTTTTAAACATTTTTTTATATAGAATTAAGATGTTTTTAAAGTTATAAACTCATACTTGGTGGTTATCGTATTCGTCATGATTTTTTTTTGTTGTATATATATATATATATATACGTGTATACGAATGTGGCCATACCCAGAGGGCTATCGCATCAGCAAGACGACTTTCTAGTCAGATCCTTCCTGTGCTTCGGATATGAAGAACTTGATCGTAGGAAAGATGAAAAAGGCCCCCTCTTTCTCCAGAACTTGGACTTAATCCACCCGGTCGTTCTTATGGATCTCGATATGTTTGGCTAACTACGATGGAATAGAGCCATTCTGAGTAGAACCCCTTCTTACGATATGTCAGAGCGGGATCAGTCATGTAATAGCCCCCAGCCCTTTCCTTACGATGATTCATGCCTTGCTCGTGCCGTAAGAATGTCGTATGCAAATGAATTCACTTTTGGTATAGAATAAATGGGCGAAAGCCCGATGCAGCAACTTGCGAGGGGTTGTGCTTTGCTACTTGCTTAGGTTTCCATCTATTGTATTTATCTAAATGGGAATGAATTCGTCCGGCGGGTCTATCTAAGAGGGCAAAGCGGTGAGCGTGAGAATAATTTTTGATTTTCGATGTTTATATTAAAATATAGTTAAATTTAGTAATAGAAAAGTGTGTAGTACAATTATAATTATGTGCATATATATAATTATGTGTAGTTCTAACCTATATATATCTTTTATTGATGAAAATATTACTCGTCCATTTTGATTCGTTCAAATTTAACCTACCTAGCTAATTTGACACCCCTAACATCATAGTGTCACATATGTCTCCGAGCCAAGTCCTAACCTAGAGCATTAGTTGATCTGCGTGATGAGATAAGCAAGAATATTTCATGAGATTATTTTATCTCACCTTCTTTATGAGACAATAAAATCGCTATTTCACTACAAATAATGTGATAAACAATCACAAAATTAACTAATATCTCCAATTAAATATGAAATAAAATTATTTTTTTTCAAAATTATTATTCTTTATCTCACGTATCAAACGACCGTCCAATAAAAAAAGTTGTGGGTAGGGTTGAATGCTGCAAAGTTGAGTTTTGATCACGCGAATGTGTTAAACTTTGTCACATGATCCTCGAATATACAGCTTTGCTATGTTTTTTTTTTTTTTTTCGATATTTGATATTTATTTTATATCTTAATTTAATGTAAATTTACGTCATATATATAAAAACTCGATTATAATTTAAAGAAATGTTCTTTACCAACAAATTATATCCAATCCTAGTATGAACTCGGAGTTTTTAATTAAAAATTTAAAAACGAGTTAATTTCTTAAATAGTTACTCGATAACAATTAATATCTCCGAAAGTTATTAAACTTTGTTTTATGACATAAAAATCAAAAATCACTCAATTAATGTTAATTATCTCATAAAGTCGATTAATTATTATTATTTCACATATAAAATTATATGCTTCATGCACGGAACTGCCTACGAAACTCTAATAAATAAAGCTAAACAACCCATGCCACATGTATTTTCCCTCTCATCATAAAAAGGAACCCTATAACTTCTCTTCCTATCTCCCAAAGACCAAAAGAAGGATAAAACAATTTGCCATTTTTTTCTCCATTTTCAATCAATCAAATTTGTGAATTTTTTTTCTCTTCGAGAACACTCGTATCGTCGATTCTTCAACCCCGTTCCTTAAATGGATGGTGATAGACAATTATTAGTTCCGCAAGGGCTAACACAAGAAGAATTTGTTGAGTTGGAACCATTGATTCGAAATTATCATACTTTTGAGGATTTACCAAATACTTGTACTTCTCTTGTGACGCAACGCATAGACGCGCCCGTCGATGTCGTATGGCCATTCATCCGTCGTTTTGATAATCCCGAGAAGTATAAGCACTTCATCAAAAGTTGCAGGATCGTATCAGGTATGTAACTATTTCATCTAAAAGTTTAAATTGACGTTATAACACATATATTATTATAAGTGATTATTTTGTTACATATACTATACTTCAAATTTACCTTTCACCTATAGACAAGCGAGACTTATTCTAGTGGTTAAAGTAAATATTATTAATCTTCTCGATGAAAAAAATCTCTATGTATGAAGATCATTCATTTTCCTGGTTCAAATCAAATACAAATAAAATTTGTCCAAAAATATTATAGTGATAATACATATACTTAAATTATCTTTTATTTATAATGTCAAAAATTCGTTTTTTATATGTTTAATCATCATAACATCTCTCATCAACCAAAGTTGCATTTTTATACAATAATTGAAATATTGTATAAGTAATTGATCCTTCTTAAAAAAAAAAAAAAAGTGGCGAAGTCACATGTACTTAACTTACATTACGTAGCTAAGTATGTTATATATATATATATATATATATATATATATGTTGACATCGGTCTTTTTGATTTCTTCGTGAATTTATTTCTGTTTGTGTATATACATTTTATCATTTAAAGTAAAATATTAGACCAACTATTTTTTTGTTATATTTTGACGTTTGTTTAGTGAAAATTCTGACTCGATCACTCGATACAGGTGATGGCGGAGTTGGTAGCATAAGAGAAGTAACAGTTGTGTCAGGAATACCTGCATCAACAAGTACAGAACGTCTAGAGATATTAGATGATGAAAAACATATTTTAAGTTTTCGAGTTGTTGGAGGTGAACATAGATTGACAAATTATAAATCAGTAACATCAGTAAATGAATTTAAAAAAAATGGAAAAATTTATACTATAGTTTTGGAATCATATATTGTTGATATTCCAGAAGGGAATACTGGTGAAGATACAAAAATGTTTACTGATACTGTTGTGAAATTGAATCTACAAAAACTTGCTTTAGTGGCAATGTCTACTATGCATGGTCACGAATAATTAATCGCGATAACAAAAGGATTCAGGGTTTAAATTTGATTGTTTTGTTATTTTCTTTTACTAATAAGTATGGTGTTTGGGGCGAAATGTGCTTCCTTTCATCAGAATAGGTATCGAATAAGATTTGATAATTTTTATGTATTGTAACAGTTACGTAATTGTGGGTTTGATTTTTTGAAATGTTTGTTGTATTTTTGTAATTCTTGAAATATATACATATATCTATGGTTTATTTGTGAAATATATATACGTTTGTATTCGATTCAAAATTCTTTAACGATATTGACAACATCTCTTATATTTTATATTTTATGAATATGATTTATGTATAGTTTACTTTTTCCAAATTTTTCTTACGAAATATTACTGAATATATTAATATCGTTACTTTTTACCGCAAAGAAAAAAAAAATAACTTTATGTGAATGAAAAGCTGGCAAGATACCTTATAAATGGTTTGTGTATACTCCAACCTTAAAGGGGGGAAATTATTGTTGAACTACTCTACTACTTTTTTAATAAATGTGAGGGGGAAAAAAGGAGAGAAATAAATTTTTAAAAATATACAAAAATAAATAAATAAAGATAAATATTAGTGTTGTTACCATTGAGAAACTTGTGACTTACACCTTACAACATGTGATATTAAAATTTGCTTTATTACTCACTTATTTTCTTTTAATTTTTACCTTGTTTGAAATTTGACTAAAAAAAATAATTTTAAAATATATATGTATACATATGTGACTAGAAGAAAGCAATTTGAATATATACATATATATATATGTGTATTTTTTTTTTTAAATTTATCGAATGCTCATGTTTTTTATTAGGTTCACCTCTATCTTTGATAAGATTGTACAAGAACTCAAGTAAAAATATGATCAATTATCTAATAATAGAAGAGACATGTATCATTATATGCTACTCTAATGTAAGTATCATAATTTTAGCTTTTAACACGTTTGAAAATTTTTGATCAAACGAGTATTTTTATAAAAGACTTTTACGAATTAAATTTCATTTTTCATCGGACATAACTCAGCCCAAAGCATTTTGGACTTTTGATCCGTCATTTGTGACTTTGAGTTTAGAAAGAAAAAGTTACAATCTATTATTTTTGGGTCATCTAATTTATCAAATATGAATACAATATATATTAATATTAAGCAAATATGTGTATCATATACTTATAAAATATATACACACACATTTATAATTAAAATGTATAAATAGCATATACTTTGATCATGTTAATAAACTAAACGGTTAGAGTATATCATAAGTTTTTCTTCAAAAAAAAAAGTAATTAACTTGTTGAGATTTAGGGTGTGAAAAAGTCAAAAATAGGCTTTCTTTCAGAAAATAAGTACTTTTCTTGTGATTGTCTCTTCAAAAAAAATTAGTGACTAAAAGATAAATCGTTGAAAAGAAAAATTTCATGTGTTAATATTATACTTGTATTCTGTATGACTGGAGTTGATTGAAATTTGCTCATCATTCATTCATAAAATGTATTTGGTCTACTATATTGTTAAATGACTTTAAAACATTGTTTTGGGTGAAGTTGCAATGAAATGATAGAAAATGATGAAAAAATGTATGTAATTGCTAATTTAGGAGATTTAATTTTTTATATTTGAACGTCAAAACATTGGAAACTGAATAGAGATCACACTAATTAAATTTGAAAAGAACAAAAACAGAAAGTAATTTTTGTCATTAGAAATTTTTTGAAATTTTGGGCACAAGCTCTTACAACCAGTCAATGATAAATTAAAGAGGAAATATATAAAATTTCTCTTAAACTTGTCACCTGAAACTTACTTTAGTATTATAACTCACGTGCATTTAAATACCTCTTTAAATTATTTGTAAGTCAATTAAATAACACCTCAGTGGCTGACGTGACAAGTAATAAAAAATAGATGCATAAATAGCAAAAAATAATTTAAAATAAAAACAAGTGGGTCCACTTTATCGTCACTCACTGACTCCTTGTTTCATCTCCTCTTTGTCGTTTTAACTCTCTCTATTCCCTAGATGGAAAAAATTGTTGACGACAAATATACGTCAGCAAGTTCAATATTTCTCAATCATGAAGGACATCACTGCTACCCATTCCTAACTCGTTTATCACTAACCCCATAAAAAGATCAGACGTCGTGAAATCACTGAATCTCATCAAAAAAATTTAACACGTCAGTGACTTGGACGGAACGCCGGTTGTACTCACTTCCTGAGCTTTCTTCCATTTCTCATATTTTCTTTTCTTTCTTTTTATTTGTTCTCATTTTTTTGGCAACCAAGGTAAAAGGTTTGAAAACCTTCAGATATGTCAATCTTAAATCTAATATAATAATGATTGTGACAATTGCTTTTGAAGTAGTCGCCTCAGTTACTGTTGAAGCTTTAACAACTCTCATTTCAATGATGATAATATATCTATAATCCTGTATTTCTGTTTGATACACAATATTCATCAAATTATTAAGAAATCATGTTATTTTGTGTTAATTTTCTACCGTAGGAAAATTCTAATTTTAGTATTGAAATGGAAAAGATGGAACGATGAAGAAGGCGAGTAACAGTGAAAATGAGAACTAAAAAATTGTATGAAAAAAGAAAAAAGAATAAAAAATTAAATCTTTTACTTTTGACTTGTTGTCAACGTGTCATTAAGGTGGCGCTAATGTGGGACGCGTGAATATCACCTCCTAACCACCAAGTTGGTATTATATGTATAAGGTTGTATTTAACTCACTTGAAAGTTCTTTAAGGGGGTACTTATACATTCGTAAAGTTACAGTGCTGAGGTAAGTTTGACAAACAAGTTTGAGGGGAATTTTATTTACTTTCTCCAAAATAAATTGTTCAAACTTAATAAAATAGGAAATGAACAATACACATACAAGAGATATAATCTTACTACTTTTGAAGAATACTCGGTATTATTGAGATATCTTGTATCAATTGAGATGACTGTGTGAATCTTATCAAAGCTAAAGATAGATAGTTGAAAATGAGAATCTGATATATTGCTAGTGTAACGATAATTCATTGAAAACTGTTCATCAATCAATTATCGATAATGAATGTGATCTACTGCATTACAAAATCATTTTAAAGCATAACTTGAGAAGAATTTACAACAAATGGTTTTGAATAAGACTCTGCATTAACTTAACAGGAAGCACTAAAAAAATTATAACAGAACACATCACGACTTTTTTTTGAGAGCTTTTGATTTATCATATTTGAACTGGTAAAAACTAAAATCTGTATATGAGTTACACTACAGATAAACAAATGATATTTCAGTAGATTCAGCTAGAAATTACAAACACAGTTAGCAGGTTCAACAATTCAAAAAAGATTAAAAAACACATAAACTTGAATAAAACTCTGCATCAACTTAACAGGAAACACTGACAGAATTATAACAAAACACATCACGACTTCTTATTTGAGAGCTTTGATTTATCATATCTGAACTGGTAAAAACTAAAATCTGTATATGAGTTACAATACAGATAAACACAACAATATTTCAACAGATCCAGTTAGTGTATTCAATAATTCAGAAAAGATAAAAAAAACCCAGATAAACTTGATTTCAAGATTGTATAACTACAATCGATCAACACTATATATTTATCTGATTAACATATAAATAAGTAAGTAAATAAGATGGATGAATCTAAATTTTGCTCCGAATACACATAGATCACAAGTGCTTTAGGACACGATCCTAGATAGATCGGAGAGTGTTTGAGGCCCAATTGCTATCAATAAAAAAATATCTAATTTAGTCATGGGTCATATCCCTATAAAACTCATTGTTGACCCGAAATTGTTCATTCTCTTTACAACCACTTCTCTCACTAGGGTTTCGAAAACCCTACCGCCGCTGCTCTCCTTTTACCCCAAATCTGAGCAAATCGAAAGCAACAATGGCAGAAGAAGCACAGTACGGTGCACCAGATGCCGGTAACAACAAGAGGAAGTACGATGATCAAGCGGCACCGTCTCCTGGTCCTCGTAGACCTACTGGATTTTCTGCTCCGATCGCTTCCTTATCTTCTCCTGACGGTGCTGCTCCTCCTTCGTCTTACAACAATGTTCCGCCGCCTATGGATGATTTCCAGTTGGCTAAGCAGAAGGCTCAGGAGATCGCTGCTAGGTTGTTGAATAGTGCTGAAGCGAAGAAACCTAGAGTTGATAATAACGGCGGTGGTGCCGGTGGATATGATTCCTATGAACGTAAGGGTTCTGAGCTTTTTCTAACCTTTTGCTGTTATGGATTTTGTGTTTTCTTTAGTTTGTCTGTTTTTTTTTTCGGACACGAAGTTGAGATTTTTTTTTTAAAATGTAATTTTTTCTGTAATTCTTTGCTGTTAGATATACTGCTCTATTAAATCGAAGTTCATCTTTTACAGATATCGTTAAACCCAATATCGAAATTGTGTTTATATTTGCTTCGATTGATTTAATTAGTTTGTATGGTAGTCAAGTTTACAAGATTTATGAGTTTTCTGTCCTTTTCTGTTATTGATTTTGTGGTGCTGGTTTTTTGAGATGGAGGTGAGATGTTTTTTTTAAATAAAAAGATGTATTTTCTCACTGAAATTCTTTTCCATTTGGATACAAGTATTTTAATTTGTTATTTACAGGTATCCTTGTATCTTATACATCCCGTTGTAGTATTTTTTTATATATCCAAATGTTGTTGGTGGATTTGATTCCTCAAGGGTTTACTTTCTTTTGTTGTTGTTGATTTGTGTTTATGCCTTTTTTGCTGTGGGAGAACTATTTTCACGGATTGATTTTTTTTTATAATTAATGAAGTGTTGTTCTATTGCTTATTGTTATTGTAATTTTCACCTTCTTCTATACCTGACCAAAAATAATCTGTTCACAAAATATTGATGATGAAATACAATTATCCATACCGAATTCATGTTTGTAATTGGCTACCACTGATGTGATTAGTTGGCAAGGTAGTAGGGTTTTAGCTTTTACTATGATAGCAATTCTGGTTCGTTTTAAGATCTTGTTGAGATGTTAAATATTTGTGGCTTTTCTTGACCGCAGACAAGCCCATTGTTACTCCTTCAGTTACAAGTTCATATGGTTATCCGGGGCAGAGCAAGAAGATTGAAATACCAAATGGCAGAGTTGGTGTGATTATAGGAAAAGGTGGGGAGACCATCAAGTATCTTCAACTCCAGTCTGGAGCCAAAATTCAGGTTACTAGAGACATGGATGCTGATCCTAATTCTCAAAACAGAGCAGTTGAACTCATGGGTACTCCAGACCAAATTGCTAAGGCTGAACAGTTGATTAATGAGGTTCTTTCTGAGGTACCAGTCTTTGATACTTAAGAGTGTCAAACTCCAGTAATTCTTTTGTTGAATTATATCCATTTTCTCATGCTTTCGACCATTAATTGATCTGTTTTTAGTTTGTTAATAATGCATCATGTATCTGATACAGGCCGATTCTGGTGGTTCTGGTCTAGTTTCCCGAAGATTACCTGGACAGCAATCTGGAGGGGAACAGTTTTCCTTGAAAGTCCCTAACAACAAGGTGAGATTTAGTGTTGTAGTTTAATTACTAGTCTCGCAGTCAGCTTTCTACTATTTGTCTCATGTGTATTGGTATGTGTTTTATTAGGTTGGTCTTGTTATTGGAAAAGGAGGTGAAACTATAAAAAGTATGCAGGCAAGAACTGGAGCGCGTATTCAGGTAACTTCAAAATTCTTTCCCACTTATCTTTTATGAATACTTACAGTCCTTTGCACTGTGAAAAGCAATTATTTCTGGAGATTTTATTCCAGCTCTCTTATCTTTCCTACTTTGTCACAGGTGATCCCTTTGCACTTGCCTCCTGGTGACACATCGCAGGAAAGAACAGTCCAAATTGACGGGTCAAGTGAACAGATTGAGGCTGCTAAGCAGCTGGTGTATGAAGTAATTAGCGAGGTATGTGTAATTGGATATCACTTTCTATTCTTTCCTTGTTGCGAGAATATAATAGGCAGCAAAGGCAGATGAATGCTTGCCTCAAGATGATGCATTTAATCTCCTTCAAATTTTGAGCAGTCTATATTTGTATGTTATTTGTTGTTTGTAATTTGTAACTGTGTGTGTATCTTGCATGTTGCATGTTGTGGAAGACTGTGCTTTATACCTTTAGTCCTTCAAGAGTTGCTTTTTGTAGTTCTCCTGATCCTGAATGTTCAAATTTCATCTCTTAGCATCTTCAAGAGGCAGTGGTATTAATTTTTTCAGCAGTGGTGAAATTTGCTGACACATTAAGTTACAGTTTACTTTGTTGCTAGAGCATCATGAATGAGAAATTAATAATCCAATATATGACTTCATTAGGATCTTCATGATCTGTATCTGCAAGTTTCATGTATGTGTGTTGCTGTCAATTACCTATATCCGTCCTTGCATCGCTAGAATTCATAGTGTTTGCAGATCATTTTGCCAGTCCTCTTCTTGGTCGACAGCGTCAGTTAATGGGAATTCTAGTTCATGTCAGTGACCCCTGGATGAAGGAGATTGGCTCTTGCTGTGCTTCATTTTTTGGAAGGAAGTATTCTTATTAATATTGGAGATATGCTTTCTAGTTGCAAAGTAGGTCTTTGCGAGTATTTTGCTCCACTCTTAACTATAGCTCCATTACTTTAAATAGAAGGATTAATAGATTGTTATCCACATAATATATCTGTAATGTGACATGACACCTACATATGTCAACCTTTTTTCCCATCAGTTCTTTTTAATTAGTTGGATGTTGCTGGAGCAAGAGATCAGTTTCTAACCCAAGGCATTATCAGGTTTAAGATGACTTATCAAAATGTTTAGTTGCCTCAATGTCTATTGATCTATATTTCATTGGACTTTAGATGTTGTGATTTTTGTGAGGCGCAGGTTTTGGGGAGGTTCTCCTTGAAGGTAACTAAGTCTGTCTAAAAATTTTCCGTAATATTGAGGATATATTATAATCTGAGATGTGCAATAACTCTTGGTTTAATGGTTTGGGTACTTGGTTAATATCAAGAGACAACATATAACTATTCTGGTTAATTTTGTATCTGATCACTGATATTATTATTGGAAAATTTGTAGGCTTAGTATGTATTGGACAATGGTGACACCAACATGGAACCATAAGTGTTGGTGTTCCCTCAGCATTGTTCTGGTATGGTCTTCAACCTAATTATTGATTAACTAATGTCATATACTGGGAGTAAATGAGGGACTGATTTTGCTAGGATTTGCAATGGAGGAAACTAAGATTTGTTGAGATTTATCATTGTTATCTTTTAGGTGTCAATCTTGAGATATTATATGAATGTACTACATAAGTGTTGTAACAAAGAGTGTTTGGTGTAATTATCTATTGTTGATGTCATTACTCAGCCAGGGGGCAACTTTTTTGTGCCTTGGGATTTTCTAGTGCTTTATTTGGTTTCTCTCAAGAAAAATCCATTACTTTCATTACTAAGCCACTAGTATCTGATTTTCCCTTTCTCCATAGACCTTTTAGTCATGGCTATGAAGATCGAACTTCCTTTGAGGTTTGGAGTGCTTTAAGGATCATTAGTATGTCAGTTCTGTGTGTTCACGTCTTGATTCTTAGCAGTACTGTTAGGTTCGCATTTCTTATTATCAAAAAATGGAATCATTGCCCTTCAAGTGTGATGTGGCATGTAGGAATCTGCTTTCTGGCGGTGTTAATAATGACATCTATTATCACTCTGTGGTTTTCCTTGTTTTTGGTGTCCCTGTGGTCCAACTCTTCCGAACCCAATTCACGGAGTGATAGCTGGTCTTCGAACCTCAAGGTGCACTGCTCTTGCTGCTTTGCGAACACATCATATTTATTCTTAATATTGAAGTTTGTCGTTTCTCTAATTCGCATGTCATTGAAACAGTTATACAACTTCTCTGGGTATATAAATTTGAATACACCATATCATTATTATATAAAATTCTCTGCTTATGACATATAATGAACAGATTACTACATCATATTATTATTGGTAAAGTCCCTTGGCTTATAGTGGTTCCTTGGTCATCTTATAGTGGTATCTTGCTATCTTAAGAGTTATCTTGCCTACATATAGAATGTTTTTGTTTTTTGCTTTTTTGCTTTTGTATCCTTCACTTCAAATAGGGTGAGGATGAGCATCTGCCAGGAGTTTTGTACCTCCCAACCAGTAAGTCTTACATCTGTCTTGATGCATACCTAATATTAATTGTTATATGTTTGTGGTATAAGTTACTGTTTCATCTGCTATGATTATGCTACCTGGGTGTGGCTTAGTCTGCCCTTGCAATGTGAGTTATTTAAATATGCTTGAATCAATCATATTCTTGGTTAGTTTAGACGACAATTCTTGTGCAGAATCGTGCTAGGAATCAAGGGATGTCGGGAGGATATCAACAGGGTTATCAGGCCCGGCCTCCTACAAGCTGGGCCCCTCCTGGTGCACCTATGCAACAATCTGGTTATGGCTATGGTCAGCCTGGTGCATATCCTTCTCAACCATCTTACCCTGGCTACCCTCCTCAACCTGCCTCTGCTGGATATGCCTCTGGCTGGGATCAGAGTGGTGCTCAAAATCAACAATCTCAGGCAGGAGGGTATGATTACTACAACCAACAGGCTCCACAACAACAGCAGCAAGCTGCTGGAGGTTCAGCTGCTTCAACTGATAATAGTGCCTATGGTTACAACCAGCAACCTGCCTCAGGTTACAGTCAAGGACAAGCTTATGCCCAGGATGGCTATGGTGGATATCATGTACCTGCCCCTCATTCTGGTGGGTATCAGGGTTCTGGTTATGAGCAGCAACAAGGCTATAGCTCTACTGCTGGCTATGGGAATGCCTCAAACCCAACATCAGACGGCCAGAACTCGTCGTATGGTGCCCAAACTGATGGCAGTCAAGCACCTCCACCAGCATCAGCCACAGCTCAACAAGGATATCATTCTGGCCAGCAGCCCAGCCCTAATCCTAGCTACCCATCTCAAGGCTCTGCTCAGGCTGGATATGGGGTGCCCCCAACTTCTCAAGGTGGGTATGGTACACAGCCAGCTGGAGGCTATGCTGCTAGTTATGGGGCTCCTCAGGCTCAAAAACCTCCTACTCAGGCAAGCTATGGTCAACCACAGCAGTCTCCTAGTGCACAAGCTGGTTATGCCCAGCCTGCCCCAGCGCAACCCGGGTATCCTCAACCAGCTGCTCAAGCTCAATCAGGTTATGCCCAGGCTGATCCCAACGCCCAGCGACCTCCCTCTTCTGCATATGGTGCTCCACCAGCTCAGCCAGGTTATGGTGCCCAGTCTTATGGCGCTCCGCCTAGTTATGGACAGCAGCCACCTCCTTACAACAGCGCCTATGGTGCTTACTCCCAGCCACAAGCATATGCTTCTGAAGCAGCTCCAACTGCGCAGTCTGTTCCACCTAGTGGTGGGGTTGCCAAAGCTTCACCTCCGAGTTAATATCAGTCTCTTTCGTATGTTTTTGGGTGAATCTTTTAAAAACAATTTCTTGCTTTTGTTGCTTAGTTATCTTTAGGTTTTGTAGATTATCAAACAGTGTTTTAAACTGTAGTTTGTTTGTCCCCGTATTTGGATTGCGTATCGTTTAAGTAGTTTTATCTTTCGTTCCGTTGGGTGTGTTCTCGAGTAAAGTACCTATGGTGTTGCCATGTTTGTGCATGTTATTTGATACTCGTTTTCAAGTTTTTCAAATGGTTTACCGAGTACCTGTGGGGACCTCAATCCATGGAGGTTTCTGTTTCGGTAAGTTGTAGTTGAAGGGTAGTATAATGATTGTTTCTCAGGTCGCAATAATTACTAATATCTTGAGCATTTCAGATATATATGCATGAATTTAATTTGAAAAAACAGTTTAAAACCTTTTATTTCACTATTAACAGCGTCATTATAATATAAATTGGAGCCCATTCAACAATATTAGTTGTTTTTAAAAGTTTTTTCGTGTGATAATGTTTTTTTTTAATTTATAGTGATGTGTTCTTTTCTGTCTTTTCAAAACCTTTAGTGACCTTGGGAAATGGTATGTATAGCCTCACCATGATCATATAGTGGCTATACAAAAGATTTAAATTGAATTTCACAAGATGAATGTCACATTTTCTTAAATTTTTCGTGTATATTAGCCTTTGAGAACTGTATGAGGAGTGAGGAATGAGTTGGAAATCATTACAGTATACTCACACAATTTTTTTAATACCTATTTTCGCATTTACAAGTTTTTTTAAAGAATCGCCCAAATAATCAATTTTTTGTGTTTATTAGCCAATGAATGTGGCGCCTGAAGAATTCAATTTGTTTTTTATCAAAAGATTTTATGAGGATCTTTGTAATGAGTTGGGGAACTATCACGTATAGTCACACTCTCTTAACGCCCATTTTCTCATTTAGAAGCTTCTTACAAGAGTCGTCCAAATTCACCAATTTTTCGTCTGTATTAGCCTATGGATCTACCGTCTGGATCACCAATCTTTTTCTCTAAAAATTCTTTATGGAGACCTCCGTAATGAATTAAGGAACCTTCACGTGTACTCAAACTATTCTTAAGGTCATTCTACATTTACAAGCCTCTTTTTAAGAATCACCCAAAATCCCCTTATTTTTCGTGTATATTAGCCCATGAATATGGCGCCTGGAGCACCTATTTTTTTTTCCCAAAAATTCCGCACTGAATTGGAAAACCTTCACGTACACTAACACTATTTCAACGCCTATTTCTGCATTTACAAATTCCTTATAATAGTCACCCAAATTCACCAATTTTTTGTGTGTATTATCACATGGATGTGACACCTGCGCACCCAAATTTATTTTTCTCAAAAAATTAAATAAGGGCCTTCGTAATGAGTTGGGTAACCTTCAAGTATACTCACATAATTTTTTGAACGCCTATTTTCACATTTACTAGTCATTTTTTGAATTACCCAAATTAACCAATTTTTCGTGTGTATTAACCTATGATTTTGGCGCATGAAGCACCCAATTTTTTTTATCAAAAGACTATGAAAACCTCTTTAATTAGTTAGGGAACCATCACGTATACTCACACTTTTTTTAACACTCATTTTCTCATTTTCAAGATCTTTTTTAACAGTTGCCCAAATTCACCAATTTTTCGTGTGTATTAGCCCATGATTGTGGCGCCTGAAGCATCCAATTTTTTTTTTTTATCAAAAGACTTTATGAAAACCTCTGTAATTAGTTGAGGAATCATCACGTATACTCACACTTTTTTTAACGCTCATATTTTCATTCCCAAGATCTTTTTTAACAGTTGCCCAAATTCACCAATTTTACGTGTGTATTAGCCCATAGAGCTAGCGTCTGGATCATCAATTTTTTTTTCTTAAAAAACTTTATGGGGACCTCTTTATTGAATTAAGGAACCTTCACATATATTCACACCATTTTTAAATCCATTCCGTATTTACAAACCCCTTTTTAAGAATAATCCAAAATCACCTAGTTTTCGTGTATATCAGCCCATGAATACGGCGCCCGGAGCACCTGATTTTTTTTTTCTCAAAAAACTTTATAAGAATATCTGTATTTAGTTGGAAAACCTTCACATACACTCACACCATTTTCAACGTCTATTTCCGCATTTACAAGTTTCTTATAAGAGTCGCCCAAATTCACTGTTTTTCCGTGTGTATTAGCTCATGGATGTGGCGCCTGCGCACCCAAATTTATTTTCTCAAAAAACTTTATGAGGGCCTCCGTAATTAGTTGGGGAGCCTTCACGTATACTCACACAATTTTTTGAACGCCTATATTCGCATTTACTAGTCATTTTTTTTTAATTGCCCAAATTAACCAATTTTTCATATGTATTAGCCTATGATTGTGACACTAAAACATTCAATTTTTTAATCAAAAATTTTTATGAGGACCTCCGTATTGAGTTGGAGAACCATCACGTATATTCACACTTTTTTTAACGCCCATTTTCTCATTCACAAGCTCTTTCTTAACAGTTGCTCAAATTCACCGATTTTTCGTGTTTATTAGCCCATGGATCTAGCGTTTGGATCACCAAATTTTTTTTCTTAAAAAACTTTGTGAGGACCTCCGTATTGAATTAAGTAACCTTCGCATATACTCACACCATTTTTAACTCCATTTCGCATTTACAAGCCTCTTTATAAGAATCATCCATGATCTCCTAGTTTTTGTGTATATTAGCACATGAATAACACCCTGAGCACTTAATTTTTTTTCTCAAAAAACTTTACAAGGATCTCTGTATTGAATTGGGAAACCTTACGTACACTCACACCATTTTTAACGTTCATTTCCGCATTGACAAGTTTCTTATAAGAGTCGCTCAAATTCACCGATTTTTTGTATGTATCAACACATGGATGTGGCGCCTGCGCAACCAAATTTGTTTTTCTCAAAAAACATTATGAGGGTCTATGTAATGAGTTGGAAAACCTTCACGTATACTGATACAATTTTTTTAACGTCTATTTCTGCATTTACAAGCTCGTTTTTAAGAATCAACCAAAATCCCCTAGTTTTCGTGTAAATTAGCCCATGGATGTGACGCCCGGAGCACCTGAATTTTTTTTTATCAAAAAACTTATAAGGATCTCCATATTGAATTAGAAAACCTTCATGTACATTCGCACCATTTTTTGATGTCCATTTTCGCATTTACAAGCTTCTTATAAGAGTCGCCTGAATTCACCTATTTTTCGTGTGTATTAGCATTTGGATGTGGCGCCTGCGCACCCAAATTTATTTTTCTCTAAATACATTATGAGGCCTTCCGTAATGAGTTGGGGAACCTTCACGTATACTCAAATAATTTTCTTAACGCCTATTTTCGTATTTACAAGCCTTTTGTTAGAATCACCCATATTAACCAATTATTTGTTTTTATTAACCCATGATTGTGGCGCCAGAAGAGTCCAATTTGTTTTTTTATCAAAAGATTTTATGAGGACCCTTGTAATTAGTTGGGAACCATTATGTATAGTCACACTCTTTTAACGCCCATTTTCTCATTTAGAAGCTTCTTACAAGAGTCGCCCAAATTCAACAATTTTTCGTGTGTATTATAGCCTATGGATCTACCGTCTGGATCACCAAATTTTTTTTCTCAAAATTCTTAATGGGGACCTCCGTAATGAATTAAGGAACCTTCACGTCTACTCAAACTATTCTTAAGGTCATTCCACATTTACAAGTCTCTTTTTAAGAATCACCAAAATCTCCTAGTTTTCGTGTATATTAGCCTATGAATATGCCGTCTGGAGCACCTAATTTTGTTTCTAAAAAAACTTAACACTAACACTATTTTTTTAACGTCCATTTTTGCATTTACAAACTTCTTATAATAGTCACCCAAATTCACAGATTTTTCGTGTGTATTATCACATGGATATGATACCTGCTCACCCAAAATTATTTTCCTCAAAAAACTTTATGAAGGTCTCCATAATGAGTTTATTGATACAATTTTTTAACGTCTATTTCGCTTTTACAAGCCTCTTTTTAAGAATTAACCCATAATTCCCTAGTTTTCGTGTACATTAGCCCATGGATATGACGTCCGGAGCACCTGGTATTTTTTTTCTCAAAAAACATTATAAGGATATTCGTATTAAATTAGGAAACCTTTATTTACACTCACACCATTTTTTAATGTCCATTTTTGCATTTACAAGCTTTTTAGAAGAGTCGTCCGAATTCACCTATTTTTCGTGTGTATTAGCATATGGATGTGGCACCTGCGCACCCAAATTTATTTTACACAAAAAACTTTATGAGGGCCTCCGTAAGGAGTTGGAAATCATTACAGTATACTCACACAATTTTTTTTAATACCTATTTTCGCATTTACTAGCTTTTTTTAAGAATCGCCCAGATAAACAATTTTTTGTGTTTATTAGCCCATGATTGTGGCGCCTGAAGAATTCAATTTGTTTTTTTATCAAAAGATTTTATGAGGACCTTTGTAATGATTTGGGGAACCATCACGTATAGTCACACTCGTTTAACACCCATTTTTTCATTTAGAAGCTTCTTACAAGAGTCGTCCAAATTCACCAATTTTTCGTGTGTATTAGCCCATGGAACTAGCGTTTGGATCTTTGTAGGGACATCCGTATTGAATTAAGTAACCTTCGCATGTACTCATACCATTTTTAACTCTATTCGCATTTATAAGTCCCTTTATAAGAATCACCCAAGATCTCTTAGTTTTCGTGTATATTAGCCCATGGATATAACACCCAGAACACTTAAATTCATTTTTTCTCAAAAAACTTTATAAAGATCTCTGTATTGAATTGGAAAAGCTTCACGTACACTCACACCATTTTTAATGCCCATTTCCACATTTACAAGTTTCTTATAAGAGTCACTCAAATTCACCGATTTTTCGTGTGTATTAGCACATGGATGTGGTGCCTGCGTAACAAAATTTGTTTTTCTCAAAAAACATTATGAGGGTCTGCGTAATGAGTTGGAAAACCTTTACGTACATTGATACAATTTTTTTAACGTCTATTTCCGCATTTACAAGTCTGTTTTTAAGAATCAACCAAAATTCCCTACTTTTTGTGTATATTAGCCCATGGATATGACGCCCGGAGCACCTG